AGCTATAACTTTCAGGGAAAGCCCCTGTTCCAGAGAGGCATAGATTAAGTTCTCCACGACTCTGGGAATATAAACAAGTACATAGGCACCTTTTTTATGATACAATTACAGTTCAAGTTTAAGTCTAAAAAAGACAATTTAAATAGGCGGTGGTAAAATATTTACATTGTCTCTGCTCCTTGAAGGCTCTGTGTGTCACCAGGCAACCCTGCACTTTGTACTTCTGATTGACAGGACATACCCTCTGACCTCTGAATCACTTGGCAAAGCAAATATTCTGGCTTCAGAAAGAAATAATTTGCCATTAGCCTATCAAATTTAATGAAGAGCTGAGACAGCCTACTCACTAAGTCATTAAATCATATTTAAATCCATGCTAACTCAGTGATATTTTCTTCTCTACTATATATGAGAATAAGTAGCTGAAAACAAAGCTATATTAAAGCCAGTGCATAGTACTGCATATAAAATGATAACACACATTCAATGACACACTCCTAAGGCTTTCATTTTTAACATTTCTCTCCTTGGCTTCATGAGACCTCTCATCTCATAGGTATAACATTGTCCTGACTAGTAAATGGACCTTTTTATTGTTATACTCATTGTGTCTATGTCACATGCTTTCTAAGGGATGAACATGAAAAAAAGTAAAACTAATCATTTAAATTAGTTTCAGGGATACTGTTCTTGGCATAGAATAGACTTCATGAATCTTCTGTAGCTATTTCAACTCACAGTACACCAGCTTTTGTAGATTTAACTCCAAACCTATCCTATATTTTCATGACCTTGGACACTTATTAACATTTTATGATTCTGGAACAGTACTTACTCTATAATGACCATATTCTTTTATGATCTATTATAATAATAGATTACACAATTATTTTATAGGATAATATATTAAAATCCTCTGAATTTTAAAAAGCCTGTGAGCAAAATGTGAATAGGTCTAGCAAGGTAAAAGAAATGACCTAATTCTGTTTGCTTAAACTCTGTCCTTTACCATCAAAAGAGAGGCCCCTCTTAGCAAAATCTGCGACTATTGGAAGGAATCTTCTTAAGCTAGAAAATGTCTATTATTTATTTAGAATTACATGCCAGGAATTAGTATCTCCATTCATAAAAAGAAAAAAAAACCTTTTCACTCTCTTTATAATTAATTTCATGTGATTAAATACTTAAGTTTCATGCTTTTACCTATAGAATTGATCTTATGCCAAAAAGGAAAACTTCATAGATAACTGTAGTTTAGCCAAATTGTATGTAAGTACTAATACTCACTTTCAGTATCCCTGAAGAAGAACAAAGCCTATAAAAGACATGTGACATGTGACATTGTTTTCAGAGTTCTTGGTTTGGTGATGTGAAGGAATCTCAGAACTTTCTCTGGATGTTATTCCATAGCAGTGTACCGTTAAACATGCTGGCAGCAAACAGAAATGTAAAGCCTCTAAAATCATGGGAAGACTGTTGTCTAAATGAGCATACAGATAAAATAGACAGATATGCCCAAAAGATCCCAAGGACTCTTTACCGTCGTGTGTTCATTAGGTGTCCAGCTTAATGCATTCTCTATTACCTAGAAATTCATTGCATTTGCATTTTTAATGGACCTTTACTCTAGTTAATCTCTTTTTTCTTTGATAAGAAACTATTCTTCAGTTACAGCAAAAATTCCTAAAGAAAAGAGTAAAATGAAATTGTCATTGTGTGGTTGAAAACTAAATTTGTGGAGTGTGGTAGTGGCTTGGGGGATAAAGTGATTTGCATGACAAAATGAGGACGAACGCTTGCATCTCCAGAATCCACACAAAATTGGGGTAGACTAGAGTGGTGGCAGCTGGGAATTCAAGCAATCTGGAGGTAGAGAAAGGGTATCTGGGATCTTAAAATCCCTAACTGAAAAAGTAACAACTGGCAAACCAAGGATTCAGTAAGAGACACTGATTCAGTTAAAATGGGTGGAAAACAATTGAAGGAGACACCCAGTTTGACTTTGAACCTCCACAAAAAGTATACCACGATTTCTTTAGATTTGTTGCAGCTTATTAAAGAAGATACTTGCAATTTCACAGCTGTTTGTATAATTTCTTTTAAACACCAAAATCATCTTATGGGTTCTAGAAAGCACTACAACAATGACAAACAACTCTGGTAGTTTATGCTGAATATTAACTAGGGAAGCAATAGAAAAATGTCTACTTTTTGTGAGTGTAAATAATGGATAAATTAGACACACATAAGATCAAACTACACTTTCACAGCACATTTATGCATATAATACATTGTAGCAATGAAACACCTTTGTACACAAATAATTTTAGCTATAATGTTAAGTATGAAAATTCAGGTCAGTAGTATATTAATAAAATGGAAAAATAACATTGCTGATTAAAAAGAGCATGTTCATTATCTTAATTTTAATTCTTTATAGACTACTATGTAGAGATACAGTAATTCCTTATAGAATTATGACAAAGACAAGCAGCTAATGAGAACAGAGCCACAGTTCTACTCAGGAAACCGAATCTTCAAGGAAAGAAAGGAGAGACTAAGCAAACATCAGCAAGACCAGGCCAGTAGAGCTCTATTAAAACTGGAAGATTTTTTATTTATATCACATTTCAGCATATTTTTCTCCTAGTTAGACAATCAACTATAGTTTTTTTTTTCAATTTATTTTATTTAGTTCCATGATGCTTGATTTTTGAGGTAATTCTAAAAATAATTTTATTTTTTGATGTTCGTATACATGTCACATTTCTAAAATGTACTTGGAAATTTCCCCATCCTAGCTGCTCTAGTTGTCTTGTGACCCAGTATATGTTTTCATGTTGAACACTGAAATCAAACTTTATGGTTTTCCTAAATAAAGCAGAGAAAGACACTGATGCTAAAAACAACACATACCTGAGGTACAGAACATGGAGAAAGCAAGCCAGTATTGACTTCAGAGTTTCAGCTGTACTAGTGAGCTTTCACAATGAGCACTATTAGAATAAAGAAATCATAGACTTACCCAGATGTTGACCTGCTCTGACCAGCAGGGCACAACATGGGTTTGAGACCATGGGAACCTAGAATGGAGGGACAAGAGACAAGAGGAGGTGACAGCAAGACAACATGGCTGATCAAGCTGCCTTTAATGACAGTTTTGTACAGGCTTAAATAGGGGAGGTGGGGTAGAGGGATGGGGCAGAGGAATAGGGACAGTGAGGGAGGGGTTGTTGCCTAGTAACCAGGCCACTGAAGGTAAACAGGTAAAGGGTATGGCAATATTAAAGTGTCACAGAGGAAGAGAGTTAAGTGATCTAATTGTGTAATGTTTCTTTTTGCCATTAGCTATTTCCTGTGAGCCCAAGTTCTGTTCATTAGGAAGCTGGGGGAGGGGATGGAGTATTCTTAAAAAAGATTGACAATATTTGCAAGAGATTCTAAATAACAATGATCATTCCCAACATCGACCTGGTGTGATTCGGTAATAACTGTCATGGCATGATAAGATCACTGGTGTCAAAGAGTCCTGAATGTGAAGAGAGTAACCAACTACTTTCTGATTGGATTTAAGGCCCATTCCAGAAAATGAAACCCACACCTGGCATCATTATCAAGGCCAAGAACATTTTGCTATGTAGTTTATAGACTTTAAGGAAGAATCTTTAGCTACTAATCTGCTAAAAAGACACAGTACAAAACCAACTCTTAATGATTTATTCCTATGTGTCTGTTATGTTGAATCTCTCAACCCTCATAGAGAGACTTCTTGCAGTAGACAGTAATTAACATATACACCCATATCTGATCAACATGCAGATAATGAGGGACTGTGGCAGGCTAAGAACAAAATCATACATCTATATCAGACCATGGTCTCCAAGACTGAGGGATTTTTTTTGTCCTGAGGAGAATAAAAGAGTATAAAAACCAAAGGTCATGGATGCATGCAGTAAGATCATTTTCAGATACAAGAGAGCACATACATGTATGCAGTCAGTGGCTATGACAATATCCATAACTCTTGCCTAAATTCAAGGCAGAAAAAAAGCCATATGGAGTGTGAGGGAGGCAGAAAGTCCCACTTCTAGGTGAGGAGCTACTGACAATTCATGCCTGCTGGAAGAGAAGACAGTTTTCTTTAATGCTGTGATCTCCTGGTACACAGACCACATTCCAAGGGATGACCCCTTTACCAAGAACATTTAAGCAGTAAAATTTAGATTAATATACTTTTAATAAAAGGATGACATGAAGTTACGTGGGTAGAGAGTTGGAAGCATAGAGGAAAAATATGTCATATAGCATCATCAATGAAAGAACAGAAATAAAATTTAATTAAAGATTTCTATATAGAAAACCTAATGCTGTAACAGTGAATATGTAACAATAAAAGAATAATTAAATGTATAGCAGCATTTGAAGTAGGAAGGAAATCCTAACAACACTTAGCCCTGCAGTTCCTTGGGACTGAACTTTCTAGAACAGAAAGGTCACTGAGAATATCAACCCATAACCTGGCAGTTGTGGCACACGCCTTTAAAGCCAGCATTCCTGGAGGCAGCAGCAGGCATATCTCTGTGGGTTCAAGGCCAGCTTGGTCTATAGAGCGAGTTCCAGGACTGGATTCAAAGCTACACAGAGAAACCCTGTCTCAGAAAACAAAACAAAATCACCCCAAAAGAGGTTTCTGATACAAGTTATGCAAAGTTCACATTGCAGAAACATGATAAATATGAACCAGAATACCTAAGCACACACATGCATACGATACATAAACAAAATAAGACAATACAATAATATTAAAGTTAAATCACAGACATTTAATTAGAAATATAAAAAAAGTAAAACCCTGGCATCCATGCCAGCACTGCAAAAGATTTTTTTCTTTAACTTTTAAGTTTTAATAAAGATATGATTATATCATTTCCATCTCTACGTTCCTCTATCTAATTCCTTCTTTGCCTCCTGATTTGCTCCTTGTCAAAATTTCCTAAAGAATAGTAGATGAATATGATAGTATGATCATGAGTGTGGTTTTTCACAGGGTCAGTCTCATCCATTCTATTCTAAATGTGCTGATGCCTGCAATTCCCTCAAATGTGGGAAACTTGACTTTTAACTTGTGATAGTAGGTACTATGTTTGTGCTATTTCCTGTAAATAATTCATTTTTCACATCTAAGGAACACTTTATAGAAATTCAAAACCTACAAAACATTTAGAAATTATAAAATTTACTATAGTTTACAAGAATCTGTAGATACCAAAAGTGTTTAATAATGAGGAACTAAATAAATATATGAGAAATTCAGCCACTTAAATTATATTTTAGAGTAGTGGTTAAAGACATGAGAAGATATTTAAGGTATATTATTTTTTAATTTGTTAAAATGTTTTAATTGAAAAGAGTTACATCATTTCTTCACTACTGTCTCCTTCCTCCAAACTCTCCTATTCCCCTTTTGTAGACACACACACACACACACACACACACACACACAGACACATACACACACACATACCAATGCAAAAATACAAATAACTGTTTGTTTACTATTGCTCGTATGTGTATAATTTCAGAGCTCTCCAATCAGTGTTTAACAGTCAATACAGTATCTCTTTCATTTTTTAACTGAAAATAATTTTGAAAAATTTCTGAGAAAGTAGCTGATAAAGGGAAAGATAGAAAGGATATGCCATAACCATCACAGTAATTCAGACATTACACTAAATGGGGAAAACCTGAGAACATTTCATATAAACTTTGGAGCAAGACACTCATATTTAATATGGAGTTCAAAGTTAGCAGGTAGAGACAGCTGAATGACTGAGGTTCACGGGAAGTCAACAAACTCAGATACGAACAAGAAATATGTGGTGATGAATTATGCTGCTGACGTTTGGCACTGCATGATAATTTGATCTCTAGAGTAATCAAATGAGTCAATGATATGATTTATTTTTGTTGCATATTTTTCTTGCCCACTTGTGGGCTTCATTTTGTTGAGATTTAATATACTGCAACATCATTAATTTTCTTGCTTGGTACCATATTGTACAGTCACAGTCACCACGAAGGTCAGTCCTTGTGAAGGACAATTCTTATGATGGAACATCCAGAACAAATTAAAGACTACCACTGAGTTGTTTTCAAGTATGCTGCCATCCCTAAACTTACTAAGCTGTAATATATGCTGAACCCTTAAAAAGAATATCCATCTCCATTCATAAATTTAGCATGAGGGTTTCTGATCATTAATCGTGAAACACGGCTTTGAGAACAGCAGCTAATATGATGATTTTAGTGATGTGGAGCATGCAGTCACAACAGAATATACAATGCTACTCTATTTAAAAGACCTCTCTGTTACTGGATTTATATCTGCTAGTCTTCTCTCCATGTTATTTGTTCATCTCTTGAAATATTGCCATGAATCATTTCTATCACCCTGAAGTCATAGGTAGGGGTTTTTCTTGCTCTGATAGACATTGTTTAGTCTAAAGTACAGGGCCTCTCATTTTTACCCATTAGTGGAAAACCACATAAATCAGAATTGACACCAACAAATAAGCTTCTAGGGGAGCCTACTATTTTACAAAAAAAATTATCAGTAGCTTATAAACTAGATTTAAAGAGTGATTCAAAACACAAATGTTTATTTGGTATTAAATGCATTTTAAATTCCTCTGGATTCTACAGAAAACTTGTGTCATTATTAAGGACATGAATTAAAACATATGGTAAGGAGGGTGTCATAGCCAGCTGTGGGCTCTCTGAAGAGTGGCTACACCATAAAATTTTATCCAATTTCTTAAATATCCCCTGTTCATTTTGCATGGGAACAGTCCCTTTCATTCAATACTGAATTATTTGTCATGATTTCTAGTCCCAGGGGCAGGAGAAGCATAATGTTGCAATTTTCTCATTCCTTGGCTTTTTTATTATCTCAGTACCACTGCTCAGTAGAACAAAGAAGGCAAACAACAGATTACATTTCTGCTAGCCTATTTTTGCTAAGTTTTCTTCTTGGGACATAACAAGGAAATGTCCTTTTGAAATTATCTCTCATTTTTTTGAGGTCATAATATAGTTGCATCATTTTCCCTTTCCCTATTCTATCCTTTCCACATATTTTTCTTGCTCCCTTTCACATTTATGGCCCCTGTTTTCATCAGTTGTTGTTACAAGCATATATGTATTTAGAACAGTCCATTTTAAGATAGGGCAAGGATCATGTTCCAAACAGGGACCTCTTGAAATAGCACATGTGCCTCAGGATATAATTCTTTTGTTTAGGGTGTACCACCTGAGCTTTCAGGAAGCAGACACATCTTATAGTGAGTAGCTAGGTAAGAGGTGGTAAAATGGTCTGTAGTTTGTGGTGGTTAACTTCCACAGAAATTGATGAGTTGGGGATCAATCAAAATAATGGTTAGATAGCATGCACTGTTTATCTAACAATGTTAGACAAATGCCGCCCATAGTCTTGGGAAGTTGAACATTTTGTCCCCAGGTGTTGGTTTTGTCTGAAGAGGTGTAGGTGGTACAGAATTGGTGAGGAAGTACATAACTAGGGGAAGCTTTTGAAAATAATAATAATTAGTAATACTAGTAATAGCAATAATAATAACAAAACTCTACCTACTTCCAGATCGCTGTCTTTTCTCCATGCTTGCAGTACCAGATGTGAGCTTCAGCTTGCTGCTTCAGATACTATACCTGCTGCTTTCTGTCAGGCATCTCTGCCACCATGTACTCCAACCCGCTGGAACTATAAAATCAAATGAACTCACTTTTATTAGTTACCTTGGTCATGGTGTTTGGTAACAGCAACAGATTAGTAGGTAATATAGATAGGACACAAAAGACAAGGAAGTATGTGGAAAGGTGTGGTTTCACATTAAGATGGAGTAAAGCAATCCTACAATAAAATATTACCACATAAGACTGTAATAACAATTGATAGGTAAATTGTGTCCTGATAAAGTTCACATGGTAACATAACTTGGAAAGCTTTCATAGCTTGTCAATCTATTGAAAGTAATTACATATTCTAGCATTTCTACCTTCGTGTGTCTACTCAAGAAATCAGGAGCCATATCCTAAAACATTTACGTATGAAAATGTTTGTAAAATTATTATTTCTGAAACCTAAAATTTAGAAAGAACCAAAATGTCCATTAGCTAGTTAACTGATACTCAAATATGGTATATGTACAAAGTAAAATGCTATTTGGTAATACAAAGAATATGTTGATATAGTCAGCAAGAATGGACATAATAGTAAATGAAAAAAAAGGTAATTAGAGTAGCTGATTTTCTAAATTCTATTTGCATTGCCTTTACTACTAATGAAATGGTTTCAAGATAAAGAAATGGACTAGCTTTATTGTACATTTGTGAAGGGCTAAGCTATTAGGATGCAAATGGAAGGGACAATGACTAGCAAGTTATTTTCTTCTATCAATGCAGTCAGTAGGTGAGCATCTGTTGTGCTAATTAAATATCAGTGAGTCACTGACGGTGACTAAAGCTAGGAGGTATGTCTATTTTTTTTTAACATAAAGGACCATATTAGAGAATCCACATTATCTAAGCACACCAACAATTCTCTCCTGCTGTTTATTTCCTCCATGACTTCAGGGACTGAAGTAGATCATGTTTTATAATATATTGTAACAAAAATTAAATAAAAAGTTATGATGTTCAGGAGTGGAAGGGACATGAAAAGAGCCAGAGCTAGGAAATGAAAGAGTGAAATGATGTAAGTAATGTATTCATCTAAAATTCTCATTTTTTTTTTTTTACTATGAATGAAACTTTATTCAGTCATTTACTTTACAACTGAAACTCTGGGAATTCAAAGTTAACATCCTTGCCCGTGAGCTTCTTATAAACACCAGAAAAGGTTTCCACCTTGTGCTCCACGTTGTTCTGCTGTGCTTTGTCTAAGTGGACCTTTATGAGCCGGCTGCCATCCAATTTCACACGGATCCTCTTGCCCACAATCTCACTTGGGAAGACCAAGTCCTCAAGGATGGCATCGTGCACTGCCGTGAGGGTGCGGCTTCTGGGGCGCTTTTGCTTGTTTTTCGTGCGGCTTTTCCGAGTTGGCTTGGGCAGAATCCTCCTCTGAGCAATGAAAACTACGTGCTTCCCACTGAACTTCTTCTCCAATTCACGAACCAGCCGGACTTGGATTTTCTGGAACGATTTCAGCTGAGGAACTGGTACAAAAATGATGATGGCTTTCCGGCCACCACCAACTTCAATTTCCTTGGCCGCCGTGATGTTCAGCTCCCGCAGCTGCGCCTTGAGATCCGAGTTCATCTCCAGCTCGAGCAGCGCCTGAGAGATGCCAGACTCGAACTCGTCCGGCTTCTCGCCATTGGGCTTCACGATCTTGGCGCTCGAGCTGAACATGGCTCACCCTTACGGAGTGCCGGCTTAGAAAGAGCTAAAATTCTCATTTTTAATTTAAAAACTTTATATACACACATAATTGTAAAAGAACAACTATTTTAAAATTAGAGTTTTTAGTATAGTTTGTAAATTGTATTGTTTTTGAATTATGTTTAAAATTTTGTCAGTTATAATGCATTTGTAGTGACATATGTATTTTTAGAAATGTTATATTTGAGGAACATTCTACCAAACATATGTTTTTCTTTCTTCCTTGTTTTTTGAGACCGGGTCTCACTGGGTAGCTCTGACTATCCTGGAACTCAGTATGCAGATTAGGCTGGCCTGGAACTCTCAGAGATCCACCAACCTCTGCCTCCTGAGTGCTGAGATTAAAGGCATGCATTATCACACCTGGATCAAATGTATTTTTGATAGATTGAATACATAACATTTCGGTGCATTTTAAATTTTAATCTACAGTGATTAATTATATGTATCCCTAACTACTTGTCCTTAATGTAAGGTACATTTAATTAATTGATTCTTCCTACATTGGTGAGAAATGAACAAGAAAATCTACATACCATGCTTAAAATTTAAACCATAAATTTATTAACAAGACTCACCATTTACATTCATTCTTCTTAATAATTATATCTTACCCCCAAGGAGTTACAACACCTAATATCACTTGGAATTCCAGTTACAGTTTCACTTATAATATAAAGACACTGTCCATCAGTTTTATCAT